GCTGTCATCGCTTCTTGGATTTGGTAGAGACAGGCAGCCTGAACGCCAATGTCTTTTCCAGCTACAGTATCTTTGGTTCATGTTCTGCATTTTCTAATTACAAATGCCTGATACATCGTTGATGTGCATTTGGTTCATACGAGCTTGTTCCTTAAAGGCACGGGCCGGGTTGCCCGTGTTGGGGACCCCACGCACAGAGGACTCAGCCAGCTTGGTTGTGATGTCTTTGAGGTCACTTTCAGCTTCCTCCTCCTTCCTTCCCAGAGGCCCCTTTCTTCCTGCCTCACTCCTCTCTTTCTGTACTCATTAGTGAGTTATGTTTCTGTGAGAAACGCACTTTAAAGCTGAGGAACTACCAACACAAGGCCCCAGCTGCCCGCGAACTGGCTTATCCGGCCCCAGATATCGCAGACTTGTGCTGCGGAAGGCCTCTGCGCCCCAGCCTCGTGCTCCCCAAGGGCCTGCAGTCTCCTCTTGTGTCCCCTGGAACTGCCAGCGCGGCGAGGAGGCAGCTGCTGGCCCAGGGGACAAAGAGTGAGCACGCTGGTGGGCCAGCCTGTGTGCTGGTGGCACGGGCAGGCCAACACTGATGGGTCCTTTTTGCTGCTCACATATCACACACACTCACACACAGCCTCTGGACCAGGCTGTTTCAGGGTGGGAGGAATTAGAGAAGCAAAATACCGTGTGTGTGTGTGTGTGTGTGTGCGCATGCACACGCATGTGTACAGTCCTGAACTTGACCTGGAAGTAGCAATGCCAACGTACAACGTATTTGCATTGAATTTTCCCCCAGCTTGGTCCACTTCAAAAGCCTAAAACTAGTAACCAATCCAGTAACAAGCGCCCCTGATGCAGATATTATGGCCTCTACATCCTTTTTCCAAAACAAAGCAGTCAGAGACCCTTAAAGGAAATAGCTCATTCCAGGTCTGTGGCCAGAAATATACAAGATGAGTCTGGACATCCAGTCAGGCCAGAAAGCAAAGAAACTTTCAAAATGATTGTGTCAAAAGGATCCAGAAAATCAACTTGAAGAGGCTCCCACTGGCCAGAAATGGGAACAGTCTGAGCGTGAGGAACAATGGAAAGGACTGAAACATCGAGTATGTGTGAATTCTTGAGTACATGACGCCACTGAGGGAAAACCTCTCTGTCATCCTGAGGGAGGGACTAGGAGGAGGCTGATTATTTTGAAGAAGAAATGAATGAGTATCATCATTCCCCAATGCCTATGAAAGCCTATGAAATAATGGGTCCAAGTAAAGACGTCAGTGACTGCCAGCATCGAAAAGACAACCAGCTACTGCCTGATCCTTTTCATGGGAGCACACAAATCTCTTAAGTGTTGTGAAAACAAACAAAAAAATCCTGATTCTAATCTGGTCTCTGACTTTAATTACCAATGTAACAGAAAACACAGAGCAATAAAAACATGCAAAATATAACCATCCTCTATAGGACGAATAATCCAACTTCTTAACAAATTGCAAGGAAAAAAGTAAAAGTTGAGGAGATGCCTATGGAGTATAAGAATTTAAGAGATACATCAATCAATTGCAACATACGGGACTTACAAGTGGGGACCCAAAACACCTGGAATTACCTTCTGGAGGGCAGGCCCCATGTAGCTGGGTGAGTGTTCTAGGGACCTGCCTGTACCAGTGAACCAGCTGGCGGTGTTGTGAGAGGCTGCATTCAGCTTCAGTCATTTGTTTTTAAAAACTCAACACATTTGCCCATTTCACGATAGGTGATTTACCAGAGCACCTGCCCGCACCAGGCTGAGTATTCAGCAGTTTTTCACCAAAAATGGCATGGCCTGGGTGCCCCTCCCTCCCTATTAACCCGATCTCACCAGATAACTTTGTTTTTGTCCTCCCTCCCACAAAAAAAGCCCTCAAAGGGAAACATTTTGCCACAGAAGAGGTGAAACAAACAATAACAACAAAAAGGCAGAAGCACTAAAGGCATCAAAATTGAGTCAAAACTGTTTTTGAGTGATAGAAAAAACATCTCTTTAGGTATATTGTATCAAATGGAGAGTACTTTGAAGGTGAATGAAGTTTAAACAGGTAAAAACAAATACACAATTTTTTAAAAGATTTTATTTATTCATTTTTAGAGAGAGGGGAAGAGAAGGAAAGAAACATCAATGTGTGGTTGCCTCTCCCACGCCCCCTACTGGGGACCTGGCCTGCAACCCCAGCATGTGCCCTGACTGGGAATCAAACCAGCGACCCTTTCATTTGCAGCCCACGCTCAATCTACTGAGCTACACCAGCCAGGGCCAAATACATGATTTTTTATAAATTCTGGGTTTTGGAGTCCCCTCTCATATTTAGATGCTAATTTGAACAAAAACTATACAAAATAATTTATGAGACAGAAAATGTGAACACTGGTTATTTGGTTATGCTAAGGAATTTTTATCTGATAATAGTAGTATGGCAATATGGTTTTAAAAATAAGTCCTAACCTTTGAGAAATACATCCTGAAGTATTTAGAAATTAAATATAATGTCTGAAATTTGCTCCAAAATGACGCAGGAGGATAAAGGCCTGAGTCCTTGTGACAGAACAAACATGAACCTGACGTGGCCCCGAGGTCTTACCGCCACCGCGGGGCGGGGGGGGAGGGAACAGCTCAACACTGAGGACAGTCAGCCAGACACAGACGGTGGGGAACTCCGTAGAAGAAATGAGTGGTTTTCACAAATGAATGGCATTTTAAAAAGTAGTGTGTTAAGGACATACTACTAAAGGCAATTTATCTTCGTTGTTTATTTCAGTTGGAACCAGCCAAGTATAAAAGACATGCTCAGGACAATCGGGGAAAGTTGTGCACGAATGGGGTGATTAAAATAAGGAACCACTGTCGGCTGGACATGTTTATAGTGTTGTGATGGACTTGTTTACAGTCTGTTTCTAAAGGTGTGCACTGAAGTACTGTAAGTCAAACGAATCATGTCTGCCGCATGCTTTAAAAATAGCCCAGAAAAAAAGGTAAGGGGTCGGGGTGTGAAATAAAAATGGCAGAATGTTAATGATTGCTGAAGTTGGGCTCATTATACCAGGTTCATTTCTCATGTATGTTTGAAAATTTCCACAATAAAAACCTAAATGAAATATAGAGCCAGGACTGGTGCAGCTCAGCTGGTTGAGCATGGCTCTGCAAGGAGAAAAGTCGCTGGTTGGTCCTTGTCAGGGCAGGAGCTGGATTTTGGGCCTGGTCCCGGCTGGGGCGCAAGGGCAGGGAAACCAACCATCGTTTCTCTCACATATCAATGTTTCTTTCCCTCCCTTTCCTCCTCCCCTCTCCTCTGTCTAAAGAAAAATAAATAGATGAAATCTTTTTTAAAAGTATACAGAACATTTAAAAAATAAACAAAGCTAGTTGAATTTAAAGGACAGGAAGACCCATCAGGTTTGAAGGGGTGAGGGAGGTGACAAGGCAGAGAAGCCTCTGAACTTGACCTGAGCCTGGCAGGGTCTAGGAGATGAGAAAAGGCAGGAACCAAGGCACAGCAGCGGGGTCAAAATCCTCGCCTGCATGTCAGGGAGTTCGTATTGCTGCAGTTCTTGCTCCATCGCCTTGGACACACCATGAGCCCATGGAAAAGGAAAGTGCCCTCACTTCTCTGCACTTCCTACTCTTCCACTGCCTTTCTCCACCTGACATTCCCAAAGGAAGCCCCCAAACCAGGGGACAGCACAGCCACACCCAATCACCAAAAGAGAGCAGAGTATTGGTCTATGACTCCACCTGCTGGTGGTGCTGGGAACTGAAACTGACAAAATATGAGAAGGGAGTTGGGGATCATTTTTGAGAAATCTGATCCTGAGTCCAAGTGGAGCCAGTGAGCTGAGTGGTTGTGTGGTCAAGTCTCGGAGACCCATAGCACTAGCAGCATGGCTGACCAGCTGACTGAAGAGCAGATTGCAAAATTCAAAGAAGCTTTTTCACTATTTGACAAGGATGGTGATGGGACTATTACAACAAAGGAATCGGGAACTGTAATGAGGTCTCTTGGGCAGAATCCTACAGAAGCAGAGTTACAGGACATGATTAATGAAGTAGATGCTGATGGTAATGGCACAATTGACTTCCTGGAATGTCTGACAATGATGGCAAGAAAAATGAAAGACACAGACAGTGAAGAATTAGAGAAGCATTCCATGTGTTTGATAAGGATGGCAATGGCTACATTAGTGCAGTAGAACTTCGCCATGTGATGACAAACCTTGGAGAGAAGTTAACAGGTGAAGAGGTTGATGAAATGATGAAGCAGATATTGATGGTGATGGTCAAAGTAAGCTATGAAGAGTTTGTACAAATGATGACAGCAAAGTGAAGACATTGTACAGAATGTGTTAAATTTCCTGTACAAAATTGTTTGCCTTTTCTTTGTAACTTATCTGCAAAAGGTTTCCCCTACTGTCAAAAAATACGCATGTATAGTAATTAGGACTTCATTCCTCCATGTTTTCTTCCGCTATTGTCATTGTCCCAAAACCTTATTTTAGAAAATTGATCGAGTAACATGTTGCATGTGGCTTACTCTGGATATATCTAAGCCCTTCTGCACATCTAAACTTAGGAGGAGTTGGTCAAATGAGGGAACATCTGGGTTATGCCTTTTTTTAAGTAGTTTTCTTTAGGAACTGTCAGCATGTTGTCGTTGCAGTGTGGAGTTGTAATTCTGCGTGGACTATGGACAATCAACAATACGTACTTAAAGTTGCACTATTGCAAAATGGGTGTATTATCCAGGTACTTGTACACTATTTTTTTGTACCGCTGGTCCTGTACCAGAAACATTTTCTTTTATTGTTACTTGCTTTTTAAACTTTGTTTAGCCACCTAAAGAAAATCTGCTTATGGCACAATTTGCCTCAGATCCATTCCAAGTTGTGTATTTGTTTTCCAATAAAAAAAATTTTACCCCCCCAAAAAGAAATCTGATCCTTACATGGGAGAAAAGATAACTACAGGCCGATTAAACATATAAGAAGCCTTTAATTTCATCACCATAAACATTATACTCTGATTGCTCACATACAGTATAAAATATTTACTCCGCTAAATAAATAAAACATGACATTATTGCAAACGGCACTTAAAACCCCCCAGAGATATGACCTCCTTAGCCTAGGCAAGGGGTGCTCCTGAGTTTCTGTGCGAGAGTCCCCAAGCACAGATATGCCCTGGGCATGAGACGGACAAAGGTTTGAGGAGCCACCCCGGCTGCTTCTGGTCCTGGAACAGCCCCAAACAGAGGCTATGAAGCCAGAGAAAGGTGGGGGTGGGTGGCTCCTTCATCAGCCCAGTCCTAGAGGGAGCAGAGGGGAGGGGGCGAGGGCAGGCTGAGCCAAGAGAGGAGCCGAGTCTCAGGAGGCTGCTGAGACCTGAAGGCCAACTCCCCACCTTTACCCAGCCGTGGGCGAGAGGAGTTGGTGTATCAGCTGGGGAGAAGAGAGCTTCCAAGCTCCCGGGTTAGGCAGTGTTGGGGCCAGACAGATCACCCCTAGGAAAGGAGATTCTGACAACACTTAGCCCAATACCCAGCCATGTCATGGGACCCAGTCACTGGGGACATCACCTCCTAGGCCAGACATGGCAGAGCTGGGAACTGATGCCCCTTTATTGAGTTAAATAAATAAATTAAATATTTAAAGGCCCGTGTCCCTGTGATGGAGACACAGGGGCCAACAAGCCATGTCCTGACAACACGGGGGCTGGGCAGCTCAGTGGGATGGCGGTGCCACGGGGCCAGGCGGCGGCCCCTCTCCCCTGAGGAACCTTAGCCCCCCCACCAAGTAACTTTCTTACTTTTAAATCCTGTGGAGAGTTTCACACTAGAGCAACATTAGAGGGACGTACAGGATTGGGGGGCTCGGAGGAGGGAGAATTGGTGGCTGAGTTACTCAGCTCTCTAAATACCTTCCCTTGGTATGCGTTGATCAAGACACTAGCTGTTAATGCTGAGCCTGGGTAACTCTGCCAGAGTCCTGAGTTCCAGTGCATGGTGCTAATCAAATGCCCTGCCCTTCTCTCCCTGTATTTAGTCCAGACTTCAGCCCATTTGGAATCAACCACAGCCCTAAAGACTGGGAGGGAATCCATTAAGAGGTGTGGGAGGGAAGTCCCAGACTCTAACCGTGAAGCTATGCACCTTGTCACCACGGGGTGGCAGCAGAGAGCCACATCAGTTAGGCAGCAATAGAATCTGGGAGGCCAGCCCAGTAGCCAGATGGAGCCTGGAATACAGGGAGCTGGGACCCAGTGAGGCAGCCCCCCCACCCCCTAGAGGGTAGGAACTACTCTACACTGAGTATCTGGTCAAGTCACTCTTGTCAAATACTACCCGTGTAGCAAAGTAAATGGCAACCAGCCCCAGGCCTGCAGCTGACACCATATAGGCAGTGACAGACTGGCTGAGCTGCACGATGGAGCCCATGAACAGGGACGGGGCCACCTGGGACAGCAGGAAGGCACTATCCAGGATGGCGAGGTCCAGGCAGATGCCTCTGCCTGGAACAACCCTGGCCTCAGGTGGCTCGCCCACCACCACACGCATGGACACATCGCAGGCAGAGGCCCCGCAGAGAGCAGGTGCAGGAGGGAGCAGGCCGCTGCCCCCAGCACCCACATGTCCATTAGGGAAGGGGGACCTGGCCTTGGGGCCAGGCGGGAAGCTGGTCGTCAGGCTGTCTTCACTGGCACCACCTTCAGCATCTCCTCGGTACTTGGGCAGGAACACCTGTGGGGACACAGAAACGAAAAGGGGACAAGGACCAGTGTGGACCCTGGCATGGAAGTCCCCCAGCTATGAGCATAAACCAGGCCACAGCCCTTAAAGAAAATCAGGCAGTGAGTCAAACAGCTGAGCAGCCCCTGCTTGGTCTCGGTCTAGTCAGAACACTCCTCAGGACTGGGAGGCGGGAGGGGAGGCAGGGACAGGACAAACCCGAGACTAGAAGTCTGGGGCCCCTCTAGCCTGTCCTGCAACAGGCGGATGGTGGACAAATGCAGTACTGCAGGCTGGGAAGGGAGCAGGACCCCACAGCAAAGGGAAAGACAGGCAGAATGAAGACAGGGAGGAAAGACATGTAAAAACAGAGGAATGAAATCCAAGGCTGGGGCCCCTGGTGGCCTAAACCCTCTTCTTTCCTTCCCCCCACCACCTGGACATTGCGGAACCCTCATCACCATCTTCAGAGAGAAGCCCTGCTCCCACTGCACCCCGGGCCCTGTCTAGAGCGGCTGCCCTACTGTGAGGTCTGTGGCCCCAGCCCTGAGGCAAGGAGGGTCCAGCAGGCAGCCTCAGAAAAAAGCAGGAGGAATCGCCCTCCTCGGACTCTGTGCCCTAGTTGTGCTAATGTTGAAGCCTTCCCCCCACCTTCTCACTGTGTCCTCAGACCTGAGTGACCTGAGTGTCCTGCCCCCAGCAGTCTGGGCTTCCTATTTAAGGGTGAAGACACAACTTATCAGACTGTTCCCATCCCCACTCATGCCCAGCAGGAAAGAATTTTGGAGTTGGCTGCATTAGGGAACCATGGCAGAACTCAAACCCGACCCCAGGGGAGCCCACAACTTATGCAAGCGGGCAAGAAGCAGGTGCGGGCAATGCCCAGGGCCAGGGGTGCCACCCGCAGCTGCCGTCATGGGGCCTCCCAGGACTCTCCTCCCTGCCTGCCAGCCCAGGGAAGACCAGTGAGGCTGGAGCCTGGAGAGACACAGACAGGCATGCTCCTCAGTCCATGGGGACGACCAGCCCCAGCGTGTTCTCTGGCTCAAGCGCACATGCCCATGCCTGGCCTTCGGACATCAGCCCCTAAGCCCCCACCCAGGTCAGCAGCAGAGTGCGGCCTGATCAAAGTCATCAGCGTGTGGACAGGGCTCTCACAAAGCAGGTTCCCCAACCCAGACCCTGCCCCCTGCCCCCGCCACTCCTCCTACCCTGTAGCTATGGATTCGGTGAACCAGCCCCCAGCTCGGTGCTTCTCTGCTACCCCGCCCGAGTCCTAAAAGGGCAGAGACGTGCCTTCTCTGCAGCCTGAAGCTCTGGGGACAGACCTGCTTCTCCTCCCTGGGGAGACCCTAACTTCTTGCCCATCTGGGCAGAGCTCTGCACCCAGGGCTATATACAGCTCAGTGAGGCCAGTGGAGGGGACAAAGGTGACCCTACAGCCCAGGCCAGGAGGCTTCCCACAGAAAGGACCCCTGGAAGGACTGGTTAGTGTGAGGCCACCTGACTTACAAAGTCAGGCAAGTGGTGTCAGGAGCTGCAGGCGCAGAGATCTGTCCTGGGGGTGGGGGTGGGGGTGGGGGGCAAAGGAGTGAGGCAGAAAAAGAGAGACTTGGACAGAGGAGGTAAATCACGAGAGGGGGCAGTGAGGAGCCTTCTCCATCTAGGACACCAAAGCAGGCACAGGGCAGTCACAGTGCCTCTCCCAGCCTCTCGCCGAGTGAGGGACAGTGTTGGCCACGCCGGGCCATGGCCACTGGCCACCTGCCAAAGCTAGGCCCCAGGGGCCATCTGAGCTGGTCCCCTGCCTCTGCACAGAACAACACAGCCCAGGCTGAGGGCCTCTGTCAGCCTGACTCTTGGGATCCAGAGAAGGGTTTTCCCTTTCCTGCAATCACCCACTCAAGGGCTTTGTGATCCCGACACCAAGAAGGCATTCCCGGAATCTAGCCTATGCCCTCCTTCCCCGGCCCCCAGGGCCCCACAGGCTTCCTCTCCGATCACAGACTGCCTTCTCCCCTTCTCTTGCCTGACTCCACCGCCCCAGCCCCCAGTGTCCAGTGTGGCATCCGGCGAGAGTACCTGCTTCTCCCGGTGGTAGAGCGAGGCTAGTGTGTAGGGCAGGATCTGCAGGGCGGAGAAGGTGAACCCGGTGAGGGCGGCCGAGGCGGTCACAACAGCCACGCTGCGGGACAGGCACGTGGCACCAGCAGCCACAGGGAAAGCCACCACGCTGGCCAGGTAGACTGCCCGGGTGCCGAAGCGCTGCACCAGCCGGTCCATGACCAGGGAGAAGAGCAGGGAGATGGCACACTGCAGGAACAGCCCCAGGCTGCCCATCCTGACTCCTGGGCGGGGGCCGGGAAAGAGGCGGTCAGATGGGGGGGGGCAGTATAGCCTGGGGGGGTCACTCAGAGCCAGCTACCCAAGACCTGCTGTAGATCAGCCCTGCCCCCCAGCACCCTCCCTCCCCTACCTGTAACACCCAAGCCTAGGCTGTTCCCTGACCTCAGGGAACACAGCCAGAGCTGCCAGCCAAGTGCAGAGAAAGATGTTCTGAGCATGAGCACAGGGTGTGGGCCTCCCCCTCTGCCTGAGCTCCCACCCCAGAGGGAAGCTCCCGCAACAGCCCCCAGCTACAGAGCCTTACCTTCATCGTAGTGTCTCCGGGCCTCGGTGCCTGGCTCAGCCCTGGGCACGCCCTGGTACAGGCCCTCGCCCACGAAGTCCGTGTAAAACAGCGTGAAGGTCATGAATGCCATCCAGCTGCACAGCTCGGCCACAAAGAGCCGGCGCAGGGCGTGCGGCACACGGCAGCAAAGCTGGTGCAGCCGGGGAAACAGAGTGCCCAGGTTCCGGAAAGCCAGGCGGGCACGACACGGGCAGCAGTGGGGAGGCCTGGAGGGGACCGACAGCCCTTCCTCTGGTTCAGCTGGGCCCAGGGCTGCCTCCTCGGCCACGAACAGCGTGGCTGCCATGCAAGTGAGGAAGATGAGGGTGAGCAGGCCAAAGAGGCATTCTTCCTGGGTGCCCAGGTAGGGGGCCAGGGCACTGGTGTCCCAGTCAATGGCAGGCAGGAGGTAGCCCAGGCAGCCCCCGAGGCTGATCATGAAGGCATAGACGGAGAAGGCCTGGCGACAGTGGTCTGGGTCCCGGAAGAGGTCCGAGAGCAGGGCCTCCAGTGGGGTGAAGCACACCTGGCCGCAGAAGTCCAGCAGCCCCACGCCCAGGATCAGCAGGGCCAGCTCCAGGGGCCTGGTGTCTGGGCCCAGCAGCCCCGCCAGCCGGCCGGCCCTCGGGATGAGGAAGAGGCTCAGCAGGACGCCCAGTGACAGTGCCCAGATGAAGGGCCTCCGGCGACCATAGCGCCCACGCCAGTGGTCGCTGGCTGAGCCTAGGAGTGGCACCGAGACCAGGCCCAGCACTGGACCAATGCCTGCAAGAAGGGCAAGTAGTATGAGCCAGAGGCTGGAGCCCTTGAGGGCGGGGAAGGGGGACCAGCCTCCCTGAGAAGGGTGGAGATGACCATGATACCACTGCAGGGAGGACGGATCCCGTACTGGGCACTGTGCTGAGTGCTTCACAGGGACTCTAATTCACGCCTCACAACCTGGGTCACTAGTGCCCCCTTTCCAGATGGGGGAGCCGAGGCATGGAGCAACAGATAAGTGACACTTCTGTCCAGGCACAGAGCTGGGGAGGCGGGAGCAGGCAGTCTGACTGCAGAGCCTGAGGCCCTGACGGAGCCCCTGCTTCCTGGGAGTCACGTGATGGTGACCGTTTTGGTGGCCTTTGCAGAATTCATTCGCAGTCCAGAGCTCAGCCCCTGACCCATGGCTAAGAAAGAGCCTTGGCTCAGGGTGGTCCCTAGCCTGTCTAGGTCACCTAACTCTTTGCAGACCTCCATTATCTTCCCCGTGGGCCAGATAAACTCAGAGGCTTGCTGCAAGCATGAGATAATAGATTATAGATTATATAGATTATAGATTATAGATTATAAAGGGCTAGCCAAAGGGGCAGGGCCATTTCTACAGTGTCTCCTGTGAACCAGGCATTAGACAGGAGTTTAGTGGTGACCAGGGCATGTCCCTGTACTCTTTTCTTCCTCTTGGGACCCCCTCAGCCCAGCCCACCCCATCCCCAGCCACACCAATTTAGCAGACAGCCACCTTTCCCTGCAAGCGGCACTGTGGGCAGAGAGAGGCACCGCTGCCCTGGTTCCAGGTGGTATGCACCTGGAATGGGAGGGCAGGAGGAAGCAGAGACTCACCCAGCACCATGGTCATGAACTTCTCTTCGACCCCCACTTCCAGCAGCAGGGGCGGCGCGTAAGTGATGCCCGCAGCCAGACATACCTCCAGGCCGAAGGTCAGCAAGTTGACCAGCAGGAGCTGGGATTTCTGATGCCGCAGCAGGCGGCTCACCCACAGCCTCAGGACCATGGTGGGCCAGGCGGGTAGGGCTCCGACAGTCACTATCTCCAGAACTGCTTCCTCCCAGCCCTGCTCCAGGTGCCAGGGCTGTTCCTCCTCGCTGCCACCGGCTGCCTAGGACTCGGCCAGGAGGCCATTTCTCTGGTCCTCTGTGCAGGTCCAGCCGCTCAGCCCATGCTAACTGCCTCTTGCCATGGGGCGCCTGGTGGGGACATGTCACTCAGGTCCTAAAAGGGCAGGGACAACAAACACACCGAGCGTTAAGTCCTGGAAACCAGGTCTCCAGGGTTTGCTCTGAATGCTCTGAATCCTGTCCACTTCCAGGCTGATGGTGTGGCCCAGCTACCCAGGTGCCACCCCTACCGCCCAGTCAGGAAATGCATGTTAATATTAGCCTAAGGCTGACATAATTAATAAGGTAAATATGATTTTTAAACCTCAGCACACTCCAGGGCCAAAGAGATGTTGGTTATTCTCTGTCTTAGAATACCTTTGCAGCTGCCCTCCTCTGCTAATATGGGAGGGAAAAGAAATCAAACCACCTGAGTTCCCAGATCCCCAGGCCCTGCTACCAAGGTGCCCCCGGAGACCCTCCACCAGGCCAGGTTTATCTGCTTCTCTCTCCACTTCCCAAAGCTGGCTGCTCAGCTCCCCTTTGTTAAGAGCAGCACTTCCTACTCTGCACTGCCTGGCTGTGAACCATGTGGCATTGGAACTCCCGCCCCCAGGAACTGAGGACCAGGGGAACGGGAGGGGAGGCTGTGGTTTGTTGGGCTGGGTTTGACCCTGTCATTGATCCACTGAAAGAGCACTCCCCTGGCAGGACCTGGGCCTGAAAGCCTCTCCCTTAGTTTCCTCCAGTGCTCCCCGTTCACGGGGAAGAAACATCCCCACCTGTGCTGTCTGACCACCCTGGGAAAGCAGGGCCGCAGTCCAGCCCGGATGTTCCCAGGTCCCAGCCTCACAGGGGTGTGAAACCACACCAACTGTCGGCAACTGCCATGGCCCTGTTGTGCCCCGGGGCTGGCAGGGCACCCCACCACTTCCCCTGCTGCCTTTGTCTGCTCCCCAAACAGCTCCAATCCCAGCAGAGAAGTCCCCACAGCCCTTCCTTCCAGGCCTGACTCCTGTGCACAGAGACCCCACTGGGAAGCACCCACGCTGTGGCCCCGGCCCCCCCCCACCCCGCCAGCAGCTGGCCTCCAGGTCGTGCTTCGCAACAATAACACACACTGCAGTCTGCATGGTTTAAAAGAGACCACACAAGATCAAGTCAGCCACGAAGAGGTGGTACAGAGGAGGCGGGCATCTTGTGTGTAAAGGCAAGAGTCCCCTAACCTGTCATCTGTTCAAAGGAGCTGGGTGCACAGAGCTTCTGGCCACTGGTGGCTGGAGTCGGGGGTGCCTTCCCTGGCCTTCCCATGCCTCAAGACTCAGTCCCACAAATGCATTTGAGGAGCACTACTCCTCTGTGAGGTCCACAGTGGCGCAGGGCCAGGCTCCAGTCCCCTCCCCGAGCTGGAGCACCCTCAGCCTGCACTCATTCCCTCCTCCAATCTCAGCATCTCGTATTTTGGCACTCCAACCTCATTCATCTTTCCGAATGACACTTGGCCCCAGAGGCCTTGTGTATTACAAAGCACGTTGTAGGTGCTCTCTGCGCCCTGCCACAGAGAGCGCAGAGGGCCATCAACCCTAGGGAAGAGGTCTCTGTCCCATAACTGCCTTCTGGGGCCCTGCAGCTGGTCGAGCAGGAAGGAAGGGGCTTCAGATAAGGCTGAGCTACCAGCAGCACCCTCCCCAAAGATCTGCTCAGACCCAGACCACCAACTTTGGGACAAGACATGGACCGGCTGGCACAGCAGGAGTGTAAAACACTGGCCCACAAGTCCCCCAAAGCGGGTAGGGGTACCCAATACCAGTCTTACAGCTGGGCAGTTGTGAGTTCAGCTTGAGTCAAGCCCCTCCCCAGTGGCTGCATTGCCACAGCACCCCCAGAAGGGAAGCAGTGGATGGTACAGAGACCAGAGTACTTTCCATCTTGGAGGGAAGGGTTCTGGGTCAAAAGGCTTGAACTCCCTGCCCTCAGCCTGGGAGACCCTGGACACTCACCTGCTCTGGGTTTGTAAGGACCAGGTCCTCCCTGAGCAAACAAACGTTTAGACCCAACCTCACCCACCACTTGCCCCCATTCCCAGGCCCTGGGTGCTCACCATTGTTGAAAATAAACTGCAGCTTTCCTGCCACTGTCAATCACCCCACCCGCCTCCCTGCCGCTCCCCTTCCCTTAATCCAGCTCCTCAGCCCATAAGAGAGAAAGATAAAAAGGGGTAGAGAGAAAAATTCTCCCTGATCCATCTACAACCAAGATAGCCCCTGAGCCGCCTCCCGGACCTCAGCACCTCTCCCCAGCCCCTGAGGCTCTCTACCTAGAAACCCGGGGCTGGGCCAGGTGAGGAATTCACTGGGAGTCCTCGATTAGGAAGTGGGCGGGCTCTAAACCGCGCTCCTCCACACACTCTGTTCTTGGGTTGCTGAGCCCGTCCTCCCCCTTTTGGCTCCTACCGCAACCCGGGGTCCAGGGCACGCTCCGCCCGCGGGCTCCACTCTTTCCAGCCTGGAAGTGCTGGAGGAATTCCAGACCCATTAGAGTACTCTCCCTTCCAAAGGCCCCTTTCTTCCCCTACATCTTCCCCAGTGCCCCAGTCGGCCCCTCGTCATGCCCACTCCAGGGACCTCAGGGTGGAGAAAGAGATCGAGGACACCCACAGCACTAACCCCAGTCACCAGCAGTCCCTCCAGGCCTCCTTCCCCCGGGCACAAACAGGGAAGCCCGGGCCCTCTGGCTCCGGGGCCCAGAGAGGTGGGGGGTGGGGCAAGAAGGCGTTCCCACCACTTTCCCAGTTACACTCCTACAGGCAGCCCCGGGGCACACCTCCTGTTAAAACTGAAAGCTGACAGGTGACTGCTGAGTCCCCTGTTTGGGGAGCTCCCCTGTCTGCGTCAGGAAGACAGGCAGGGAGACGGGATGCAATTCTCTCCTATACCCTCCCGTCTCAAAGATGCCCTACTCAGCCCTCCTGCCCGCTGCCCCTAGAGGACTCTGCCGATCTGGTAAACAGAATATCGACCCGAGACCGGACTCCGAAGACACCTGGTGGGGGGGGTGGGGGGCCAGGAAAGGAGGGAGGGCCTGGTACCGAAGCGGGAGTCTGACCTGACCTCCTAGAAAGGAACAGTGGCCTTCTGGGACAAGACCCTCTCAAATGTCTCCCCTCCTCTCTGGGCCCCCATGACAGGACAGTAAGAAAGCTGGAGGAAACCCAACACCTCTGAGAGCCTTCCTGGGGCTCCACCCTAGGCCATCTTTCCTCCCCTCCGCCCCCCACCCCTGCCCAGCAGACCCCCAGCCCAGACCGCCCAGGGCCTTGGCAGGGCCCGTGAACCTGCATTCTGTGCAGCTCCAGCTAGCGGGAGACCTAACCACCGCGTGGGCTCCACACGTGGCACCCCCAGCAGGCAGTGGGCTTGGTCACCACCCACTTCAGATTAGGCCTCAGCAGGGAGTAGGGGAAATGAAACTGAGCAATAGCCACGAACTTGGCCTGAACTTTCTCCAAAATTCTGATGACAGAGTAGAGGAAGCGGGAGGAGAGGCAACCGAGCCCACAGCCCACTCCTAAGCCCACTCCCGTCGCTCCCCATGGGAAGGGAGGGTCAGAGGGACGTATAAAGGGGCCTTTGAGGACTTTCAAAGGGGATCCTGCCACCGCATAGCTGAAGTGGAGCTGGGGGGAGCAGAGTCCCTCAGCTGACAGAGGCCAGAGGGAGCCCAGGCTGGGGCAGCCCCACTGCCATGGGCCAGTGTCAGGCAGCAATTCTATGGCCTCTTTATTCGGGCCAGCGTCCCCACACCCCACCCAGGGCAGCAGCCCCCACCCTGATGGGAGGAGCCCGGCCGCCAGCGACTGTGCCCTCCTCCCTCCCTGCTCACCAGGATAGTGCGGCTCTCTCAGCTCCTGGGGAAGCGCACCTCCGGTACCCACCCACCCCGCAGAGGGAGAAACGGGGACAGGGTGGGCTAGCCAGACAGCTAATGGCTCAGTGGAAGAGGGGGTGGAGTCACCCCAGGCCAATCCCCCCACATACACTACCCTACACTAGGCCGCCCCACCCCAGGACAGGGGTGAGGGTGGGGTGCAACGTTCAGGTGGAGGCTGCAAGACTCTGAGGTAGGAAGGACCCCCATTCCTCCACACAGGCCGGACCCCAGAATCTGGTTCCAGGTTGAGCTCTCCAGGCCCTCCAAGCTGGGGGTAGGAAGAGGTCTATGGGTTCACCAGCCCAGCCTCCCTGCCAGCTGACCCCTTGCCTTGGTCCCTGGGAACCAATGTCCTTGGCCTTCTCCAGTCAAACCCAGCACACTGCATTCCCAAAACAAACTCCATCCTCAGGACAGCTCCAGGAGGAGCATCGGGACACCCCAGAAGAGGCCACACTGGCCAGCCAGGAAACCTGAAAATGAGCATCCGCGGGGGTAAGGAGCCAGCCATCGCCACTGAGTCCCTGTCAGGGAAGCCCCCTGTGGGGGTCCTCTCTGGGCAGCTGGGGAGAAGGGGCGTGAGATTAGACTGTGTTTGGCTTCGGTGCCCTCCTGCCCACTTTTAATCTTTGATTCTCGGGGTTCAAATACTCCCAGAGGAGCGAGGGTCTGCATTTCTGTTCCCACTCTACAAAAAGGCAGTGATTTGCACAAACAGCCAAGGCCCACCAATTCACAGGGCTCCCACAGACACCTGAAAACACTACTCAGGATGCAACCTCTGCACTTTAAGGGACTCTAAGAAAGAATAAGGCCAGGCAGAGGGAGGAAGATCCACCCCCTCTCAGACCTGCTCCCCAGCTTCCCCCTCCCAGACCTACTCCCCAGCTCGCCTCCCCCCCCCCCCCCCCCCGCCGAGGGCCCAGAGGCCAGGGATTTAGAGTCCGCCTGCTGCGCTGCCTTTTCTTCGCTCAGACTGGAAGCCTTCTGCTTAGCAGCTTGTCAGAGAGAGTGAGGGGGCTGCAGGCCAGGACACAAAGGGGGATTAGGGAGAAACCTCTAGGCCCGCAGAGTAATCCATCAAACTCTCTCCCGGCTGCCAGCGCTGGCCCCTTCCCACTCAATTCCCCTTCCAGCTGCTGTGGGCCCCCAACCCCCTCCTGCTCCTGAGCCCTGTCAAGTTAGGCAGCAAAGAGAATCCCAGGCCCTGGGGGGCCAGAGGGGACACATTGAAGACACTGGGAAAAGGGCAACGGTTCCCTCCGGCACTCACCCCCGATGTGTGAAAACCCAACAGGTGGCAGTAGCTTGGAGGAAAGTTGCTTTTGTTGCCCCGTCTGAGAGCCCCAGCCCAGCTTCTGAAAGGAAACAAATGCCAGAGGAGGGTGGGGGAAGGGAGGAGGAAGGACAGGTCCCTGGGGCTCACTCTGATCCCCCCCACTCCCTCTCTAGTCCAGTGAGAGGCCTGACCCTCACCTTGGCCAGTCAGTCCGGGCCAGCCTAAGCAGAGGGGAAACACCCCGCCCAAGGGTCCCCGGGCAATCCCACAGTGGTGGTCCACACGGACGCACACCTGACTTCAGGCAAAGGGCCTCCCAATCAGGCTTCCTCTCTGAGAACAGCTGTGACCCAGGGTCACACTGAGTCCCCTTGACCAAGTACCCTCCTAGCCAAGACAACCAGGACTCTTCCACCTGGAGCTCTCTTCCACCCCAGGGTCCAGAGGCCTCTGAACTTGGCAGATTCTGCAGGGTGACCTCAATTTTGCAACAGCCTGACCTGAGTTTGCATGCCAGCTCCACCACTTATTAACACTGTGTGACCTTGTTAATTGACCTCCCTGAGTCTCAGTTTTCTCATCTGCAATTAACAATAGCAGCTAACACCGAGGTCCTGCACGCCAGGCACTCCTCACAGTGTTTTACTCTTCCAGCTGCCCGCTGAGGTGGGTGCAACGAGTGGAGCCATCTGAAGGGCAAGAAGACTTGGATGGACACCACCACCTTCACAGCCATGTGGTGTGTTTGACAGCAAGTATAAACGGGGGCTCCTGGCAGCCTCTTCTTCCCTCATCCTCTGGGCTTCCTCGGTGCAAAAACCCAGGAGAGGGCCTTCTCTTTCCCAAACAGGAGCAGCAGAGGTCAAAGGGCAGCCAGCTACTCCTTTATTTGTCTTTCCATTCTCCTCTCAACCTGGAGTCTTGCCCACCCTTACTAGTGCCTGTTTCAGCCCCCAGAGGCAAGAAGAATGCCAAGAATGTAAATGCCTCCCCAGGTGTTGGCCCCAACAGGTGAGCAGAGGCCACTGCAGTGGACCTGCCTGCAGTGGCCTGGGGGGAAGGACAAACGCCCCAATGTTATAAGACAGGGTGGTTCCCACCCATGGGGGAAGTCATCACAGCGGCTGATACCTCCTAACTGTCCAGGGGTGTCTGGCACATGCTGGGCACCTGACAGCTTCCTTCTCTAGTCCATGCCCTTTGCACAATCCTCCAAGTAGGTGCTATTTAGTATTCCTGTTTCACAAGAATGAAAATTGAGAAATCCATTAACATGCCCAAAGCTGCACAAATAAAAAAGCTTGAATGAAAAATTCAAACCATTTGGAAATTCTGGAAAGTGCTCTGAGCTGGGAGCCAGGACAGTGCAGTGCAGTTTCAGCAACTTTCATGGCTGTATGGCTCGGACAAGCCATTTCACCTCTCTGAGACTCGGTTTCCACAACTGTAAAGTGAGAACTAATCTCAGGCCGTCTCAGGTTCTTCGCAGCACCACAGCTATGTGATCACACACCCACCACCACCACCTTGCCCAGGGAGGGTGCCCTCCATGGACAGACAGGTGCCTGCTGAGGGACCACTGACAAGGCCCACGGCATAGTGTGGGGAGGCGCTCATAGCCCTCCACCAATGAGTGACAAGAGGAACCCAGTGGAGAAGAGCCCCCCCCCACCAAAACCCCTCCTCCACCTGCCCTCACACCACTCAAGTACAACAGAGCACCAAGGGTCAGGAGGTCATCTGAAACCTAGCCAGGTAACTAAGACACCTGGGGGCAGAACTGCCCTCTTCCCTATGCCCGCCCAGAGTTGGGCTCTGTTCCTGGCTGAAATTAGTAACTGAATTCTTTCTCTCCTTGAGCCTAATAAGTGCTCCCTTACAAATTGAGGCAGTGGTCACCAGAAACCCTAAGTCCAGGGCGGGTAAGAGGGTGTGGGGGAATGGGGAGTAGGGTATACTCTCCAAGCCACGGCAAGTCCCCTCCCCCTGTTCCCTTCTCTTCCTACAGCCCCTGCAAAGTGAAACCTGAACTGGTCTCTCTCCTACTGAACTTGAACTTTGCCAGTCAGCCAGTCCAAGCAACTCTGCACAAACGACCCTGCAGCCTGGCCTGAGAGGTGAGGCACACAGGAGGCAGCCCGGGGGTGGAGGGTCTGGGTGGACCCACGGGTGAGCAGAGCAGAGCAGGGAGTCCAACCAGGGTGTGGTCATAGTTCTGCCTCGTCCCACCTCTAGTATCTCAAATTTGATGGTCTGTAAGGACCTTTCAGCCCCGACATCCTAGGGTCTGTGACCAGCCCCATTCATCATCAGAGGCTCTGAGCCAGACTCAGTCCTGTGGAAATGTGTTCTCAAAATAGCCATGCAATCAAAAAACTGTGGTACATTTGCCCAATGGAATACTACACAGGAGAAAGGAAGAAGGAACCCCTACCCTCCACAACAGCGTGGGTGGAACTGGAGAGCATTACGCTAAGTGAAGTAAGCCAGGTGGTAAAAGACAAATACCATATGAAGTCACCTATAAGTGGAATCCAATCAACAAAACAAGCAAACGAGCAAAACTGAACCAGAGGCATGCAAACAAGGAACAAACTGACAGGGGCCGTAGGGGAGCGAAGAGGCGGATAAGGAAAGAAAGGGAAGGGTCTAGTTAAAGAACAAGTATAAAGGACCCATGCACATGGACTACAGGGTGGGGATTGACTATGGGGGCCAGGGGTGGTGGGGCAAGGGAGAGCAATGTGGGAGTTGGGACAACTGTAATAGGACAACAATAAAAGAAAAAATAGACAGACAGTGGTGAGTAAGGTGCAAGCAGGCTCCAAAAGAGACATTATTATTATTACTATTATTATTATTATTATTATTGTTATTATTATTATTAAAGACCCCTCGTTTGCCTACCCTTGGAGGAAGTATGCCTCAGTGTGTGCAACCTGACCTCCCCAAAGGAGCATGAAAGAACACTAAAACTCACCCCCGTCCAACCAACACCCCCTGAGCCCATCAGGCGACAGCCCACTGTGAAGGGGCTGCAGTCCCTGTCAGCGGAAGAGACAAAGGCAGTCAGGCGTGGGGAGGTGGCACAGGTGCAAAGACACTAGGACTTCCTCAGCTCTGTTGCTGAGCCGTGGAAAATGCACAGACGGGAAAAGGGCAGATATCTGCAAAACACAGCCCCTGAGGCCTGGGGCTTGCACACCCACCCACCTCTTCTTCGTCCCCTCCCCAGGGAGCTGTGGTAGAAAGGACACCAGACCCCAACATCGAGGGATGAGTTTTGATCTCAGATCTGGGTCCTCGCTGGGGATATTCATCAGCACTGGGCCTGTTTTTGCTTCTGAAGGAGTCACCATGCTCCAGTCACGTCCCCTCCACTGCCTCCCCCCACCCAGCCCTGCCCACTCAGGCCCCACACCTCCTCCAGGGTGGCCTGGAGCCCTAGTCTCGCCTGTGCTCGCCTGACAGCCCCTCAGGGTTGGATGTGGATCGCTCACAGCCCTCCTGGTGTGGCTTGCCATCCTTCCCTGCCGCCCACCCCACTGGCCCCTCAGCTCCCAGAAAGCAGGGAGCACAGCCCCTGCCCAGGCCCTGAGAAGAGGGGTGCTCGAATGCAAGGCCCCGCAGATGAGGCTGAGTCAGGATCCCTGTCTGGTGTGATTTGCCTGGCAAGCCTGGCATTCCCAGCAGGGCCATATGCAAGGTTTTTGGGTTCTCGGCTCTTTGTAGTGACCAAAGCTGGAAGTGGGAAACTATATTGTCATACCCCTAGGAATGGACCAGGTGCTGCGAGCTTGGACACTCTTTGTAAGCTCAAAGGACACTGGAGACTAGGCTGGGGGCGGGTGGGGGCACAGCAGAGAGCACTGGGGAAAGAGGGACTGCTGCCTCAGCCCGGCTGCTCCCAAGGGCATCCCAGACAGCCTGGTCTCCAGAATTAACAAGGAAGGGGAAGGAAATAAACACGTACTGAGCACCTGGTCCGTGCAGGCACTTTGCTAAACATGCCTGTCGCACGCATTCCTCACCGTAACCTCGCAGGGTAAACACTATCCTCTCCGTCTTACAGACACAGACACCAAGACCACCAGGTGAGACAGGCCCACCTCCAACCTCAGAAGCAAGAGGCCCCACAAGTCATGCGAGGTCAGTGGCACTTCTTCCCGTGGAGGAGGAAACAAACACGCAGTAGAAAAAGGGATTAAACAGGAAGTTCTGGCCAGATATCAAGACCATCCCGTGATGGCCCTGTCACCAGCCTCTCCCCGCAAACAGGGACACTTAATACACTGGACAAAGCTCCACACTCCAGCTCTACTGCTGGAAGTCAAGCAGCAGCAGCGTTCGAGACACTGGGCCTGGTACCAACTGGTCCAGCCTCTGCCCTCGCGGTCAAGCAAACAGGGACACTAACTGTTCAAAGAAAAGCTAGGCTGGGTTTCCTGTTCTGGACACCAGAAAGCAGTGCAGAGCATCCCACTGGGGAGGAAGGATGGAGCTGAGCCCACATGCACAGCAGCCCCCTCTATCATACAGTTACCCTAAAACTCACAGCAAATAACCTTTCTGCATAAAAGGCTCTTAAGCTTTCAGGATATACAGTCATCCCTATCACCTCATGATTCGTCTCCATCACCCCTAACCTGAGAGCAAAAGGGGGCATGGGTTACTGGGCAGACTGAAAAATAAGTCACACAATACTGCCAGGGAGAGACCAGGGCGTCCAATCCTGGTGTGTTCTCAGCACGGCACCCCAAGTTCAACTGCATTTGTGGTTCACAGCTTACATGTAGTTACATATGGTCTGATTCCTTTGCTAAGAGACTCTGGTCTCTAAGTGTAAACCACAATGATTGTCTCCATTGTCACCAAATAACACCAGCTGACGTTTATCAAGCTCGTTCTACTTACAGCTGCTGTGCTCAGAGCTTTGCCTACATGGGGTAGCTACTGTTATCCTCATTCTAAGAGAAGGAAATGGACACAGAGAGAGGTGAAGTAACTGTCAAAAGAGACAACAGCATTCAAGCCCAGGCAACTGGGTGCTGGAGTTCAGCCTCTTGCCTAGTCATACTGACTTCCCAAAGTCCAGGAGACCTTGTTCCCAAAGAAACGAGGTCTATAGCAGAGCCTAAGAACGGAGTCCCGGGCTGGGTGCCGCTGTCCATTCAGTCACAGGAGATAGATAGGGTGGACGTGGTTACTGCTGGCTAACACTTACTGAGCACTTACTTCCCATCAGGCACACGGTCAGTCCCCTGCTCTGTGTGCATGGTTTAATAACGGTACATTTGTTTATACTTCACATGTTATATTGAGCTATTATTTATGCATATTTATATTTGTTAGTTATTATTTAATAAATAATAAGACTCTACAGTAGGTATATCCTGGTTATTATTATAATCCTCATTCTGCAGCCAGGGAAAGTGCACATTCCACGGCTAGTAGAGCAGCCAAGATACAAGCCCTGTCTCTCTGACCGTCTGGGTTTTTATCCATAATGCTGCGCTATTAGACGATAATGGTCCAGATGATAGTGCTTAATTTCACTTTTGGAGTCCTCAGCCATCCCTGCCTTTCTGCCTTTTCTCTCCAGAGGCCTGGACAGGCTGAGAAAGTGGAATCCCTCTACTACCCAGTGGCCTAGCTGGACCTCTGTGGGCCACCCAGCACCCTTGCCTGGCTCCGCCCTCCTTCATGTGGCTGAGAGAGCCAGGAGAGGCAGGGGCGTCCACTGTGCACTCCGCACTCCGAGTACTCATGGAAACTCTCCCTTCCCCCGACTAAATTGGGGCCTGGATGGCCACAGCTGCACATTCGTCCAGCTGTATTTTTATCTTCAAACTCATCCTGCTGACTCAAGTTCCATTTTTCTGAGAACTTTTAGAAAAACAGAGTCCTGGACCCAGACAGGGCTGTGGGGAGGAGATTAGGGAGGGATGAGGGAAGGGGACCCGCCCGACTAAAGGGCCTGTGACCTCCCATATTGTTCCACTCTCTCCCGGGGAGCAGTTGCTCCATGGGTTTCCTCAGGCTTCCCATTCAGCCTGCCCCTCCTGGCCCTGGCCGTCCCCGCCCCATGTAAGTCAGCCTGTTCCCCTCACAACCCCCAGGCAGGTGAACCCACACCAAGGCTGTCTTGGACAGGAAGGGAGGCCTGCCAGGTGCCTCGGGAAAAGCAGCCTGAAGCCCCCAGGGCCTCACCCCCACGCCTAAGCAACGCTTCCAGGAGCCCAGCAAGGGTCACTCTGGGCCCTGGTCCGCTGGCTATGCCCAGCTGCAAACTCCAGAGCAGCGAGACAGCAGCTGGGCTATTCTTAGTCCCTGCTCCACTGGGATCAGGTGTGTGCAACAGCTGAAGGGCAAATCCTCGCCAGGTAGCCACCATGCCAAACCTCTCCCTACCCCCAGCTCTGGCCTCTTAAGAAAAGAGGAAGCACAGGGGAGTGGTGCTGAGTAGAAGGAAAAGCTGAGCAGGTCAAGAGTAGCTGTCAGGAAGATGGAAGCTGAGTCAGAGGTCAAGGGCAAGAGCAACTCACAGGGCTCAGGGATCCAGGAGACTATGAGAAGGACTGACCCTCATTCCGGAGAAACCCTGCAGGTCTCTGGGGGTTTCTCCAGCAGGCAAAGCCCCTGCTTATACCTAGAGCCCTGAGGGGATGTGTCTGGGGCCCAGGTACCACCTCATCACACCTGTTTGCTGTTCTCAGAATCCTCACCATCTCTACTTGAACCCTGGCAGGCAGGGGGTCAGAGCACTCAGCTTCTCTATTCCCTCCTTCTCTGAGGGGTAACCGAGACTCAGAAGGGGGCAGAGGAACCCGTGCGCGCACGCGTGCGCGCGCACACACAACACACACACGCTCCAACCTCAGCTCCCTGCCCAGAGGCTGGCCGCAAGACAAATGTCCCAAAGGGTTCAGTCACCTCTCCCGCGGCTTCCAGGCCGCCAGCCCCTTTCCAGGCTCCCAACTCCCGGACTGTGGGCGCCGCGGTGACTCATCGTGCCCCTTTCCGGTGAAGCCGAGACAAGGGAAGAAAATACATGCAACTTTCCAAAGAAAACTCTGACGAGGGAGGTGCAACAGGAGCTAGCGCCGGACTGTCCGCTGCTGCCTAATCCGCTGCCTGGCCGGGGACGGCCGGGCCCGGGCGCCTCCAGCCCAGCCCGCCTTCCTCCAGGAAAGAACAGCCCCGCGGGGACCCGAGCGGGTGCCCCGCACTCCGCAGCCTGGCCGCCTGGCCACCTCCACTGGGACTCGAGGGGCTGCGGCGCCCAGACGGCCACAGCGTGGTCCCAGACCGCGGGGCGTGAAGCTCGCTACATCGCCGGGCCGGGCCGCGCCCGTCCCCTTCCCGCGCCGGGACCCTGTCGCCTGGGAGAAGAGGGGGTGCGCTCCTACCTGGCGGAGGAGAGCGGCTGTCACCAGGGCCAGCGCGGTGGAGCTGGCCTCCTTCTGCCCCCACGCGCGCCAGCCGGCGGCTTTTAAATCTCCAGGTTACTCGGCTGGGGAAGAGAGCATGCGCGCTGGGGCTGCCAGGAGGGGGCGGGGCGGGGTGGGACGGGCTGAAGGGGGTCCCCAGGGGTGGGGGTGGTCCCCAAGCGAAGACAGCGCGAGGTCTCCAAGCTGTCTTTGCAGCCGCGACCGCGACGGGCAGCCCCCGCGTGGCTCCCAGACGCCCTATCATTACCTAGGGCAGTGCACCGCCCCCTCGGCGCTCGCCACCCAAACATTTAGGTAAAAGCGAACGGGCTCCGCGGGGCACCTCCTCTCAGGAGCCAGTCTGTGACCGTGACCTGCACATGCTCGCTGGCTATGCCCCTGTCCCCAGGCAGAACAGCACCCCATTTACCCAGGACCAGCTCTCGAAAAGAGATGTCACATTCTCCTCGAGTTACTCTTCCTACTGTTTGCTGCTCTCTGAGGCCGAAAGAGCGTCCTTATAGTTAATTCAATCCCTCTTCCTGAAGTTAAAAGCCGCATTCCATTTTTTTTCCTTCTTAGGGTAGAGATGGGGATGAGGGGTTGATACTTGCCAGTAACATGTTCCCTTTGTCAGCTGTTGAACAGGGTCCCCGGATACCCGTTTCCAGAATACCTTCCACAAGAGCGGAACAATGCAGGTGGGAAGCAGAGAACTGGGGGCCCATGCTGGCCTGGTGTCTTTTTTCCTCCATGGAGTTTTATCCACAGGAAGGACAAATCCAATTGCTGTGGATTGTTGACTTGAATACTACAAAATCACAGGAAGATGCCTTTGAAGGGAGGACCTAGGGAGCTGTGGCCCCAGACTGGGCCCTGGGGGCCCTAGGTCCCAGTGCTGGCCCTGCCACCAACCAGGTATGATGTGGAGCAAGTCCCTTCCACATTCTGGGCCTCTGTACAAAGAAAGATTGGCCAGGTAATCTGGCACCTCCAGATTAAAGGCACCTCCAGCTGGGAGGCAAGGAAGAGTGGGAAACAGAGAAGAGACAGGAATGATGGAGCCCTGGTGTCCTGGGGAGCCCAGAGTGGAGGCAGAAGAGAACAGAGCAGAGAAGAATCAAGAATCTACATTTTGAGTCACTCAACAAGTTCAGCCCGGAACCTGGGAAGCACTTACCCCTGCAGCAGGTGACCTTCCACCTTCCCAGGGGCTTTCCAAAGCCTTTGGTGTACCTATTTGTGGCCAAAGGAGACTAGGGTGGAGTCTTGGGTCCCTGAGCTGGTGTCCCCACTGCCCCAGAAAAGAGGGCAAAAGTAAAGGGTAATTCCAGGTCAGCTGGAAAATTACAGAGCCAAGAGAGAGGAGACGTGGTATTTTCCAGGCTTGGGCAAAGAGCACTGACAGGGAGCAGGAGGGAGTCCTTCCCTGCAGAGCATAGGAGTCCCCCTTGCCCTTCCCTGATTTTTTGCCAGAGGCCTACGTGGCTTATACCTTGTAAGCAAGGTATGACATCCTGGACCCCACCCAGTGTCCTGGCCACCTGGGTAGGTGCCAGGTACACCTCCCCAGTGCAGGTGACCTTTCTCTACCAAGCCAGGTAGGTGCATTCTCCAGGCCCCACCTTGCACAGGATGCTGTGAAAATGCTCCCCCTTTTTCTGCAGGCTAAGCCTCCTCATGTAATAGTAATAACAGTTGACTGTTACTGACTGTGCCAGGCATGGCTCTAAGTGCTTTTTATGTATTTACTCATTTAATCCTTATGACATTCAAGAGCTGAGTTCCATTTACAGATAAACCGAGGCAATCCCTCTGTCCAATCACTATTTCCCACCCCCACCCCCCTTCACACACAGACACACAGTCTCTGGGCTTCAGAAATGAGGCAGAGGCAGCAATCCCTCACTGAGCCTGACCAGTGACTTCAGAGCCCCAGAGAGGGTCCCAACCCCATACTGAGACCCTCACAAGCCTATGTGGGTCTCAGTTCCCCACTAAGTCAGTGGTACCACTGTGTCCCTTTCCCTTCCTCTCCTCTCCCTCCCTCACCACACACACACACACACACACACACACACACACACACACAAAACACACACACGCCCTACTCCCTAGCCACTTCCCATTTATAGGAAATGGGGGATGATGTGAGGAGCAAGGCCATCCTTGGGGACCTGCTAATAGTCTGGCTGAATATTGGAGAAACCAAAGACGCTGGCAAAAATGCATTAGCAGCTTCTACTCTACCCTCCCCCCACAGCCCCTTCCCATTATACTCGGGCTCAGAGCAAGCATTGTTCTCTTTCTACAGAGTGTGATACCTCGCTGGGGCTGGTTAGCCTTTACGAAGCCTGGAAAGTCGTGAAGAACTTGGAGTTTCCTTTATGTTCCCCTCGCCTCTCGCCACCTCCACCTTACAAGGGCTGTGGCCCCCTTTGAGGTCTACTTACTTCTTCCCGGCCTACCTTAGGGTCAGGGGTGAACAGTCTTTTGAGTATAAAGGCCACCGCAGGGCCAGATCCTAGCTCCAGACTTGATGGAGGAGGGAAGGGTCCCTGGACACAACAGTTCCATTTCTGGGGTTCCACTTGTGGCACAATAATCTGATATGCATGTCAAAGGTATATACATAATGTTTATCTCATCATTCTTCATAATAGGCAGAAATGAGAAACAATCCAAGTGTAGAATAGTAAGTTATTGGCTAAGTGAATTATGGCAAATCCATATAATGGGACATGTTGCTGCCATTTAGAAGTGGTGACAACAGAGAATTTTAATTGATGGAGGAAATGTTTATTTCCTCCATCAATTAAAACAGTGAAAACAGTGGCTACAAAATAGTACTCATGGTGGGATATACATTTTTAAGGTAGGTATAAACTAATGCAATGGGATCTCCGGGACTGGATCTTGGAACAGGAAAGGGACAGTAGAAAACTGGTGGAAACTGAGTAAGGTCTGCAGTTTCGTAAACAGTACTCCACCAGCATTAATATCTCAGTTCGATAACTGCACTGTGGTTATGTTAACATCAGGTGGAGGGGGAGCCTTTCTGTGTCTCAAAGTTTTCTATGTGGATTAAAAATTGCTCTTGTAAATAGAAAGAAAAGAACCAGTAAATATTATTTTTAAAGGGAAAGAATAAAATAAAACAAAGGCAGAAAGAGGAATGGGACATACCACTGGGGTGCCCCCAGTGAGGGCCCCTGCCCCCACTTCTGTCCACAGGGCTGGGGTGAGGGAGACCAGGGACGTGAGCAGGAGAACCCCACCACTCTCGAGGCCTCCTTAATGGGGAGGTTTGGCGCCGTTGGGTGAAGAAGTGAGTTGGAGCAGGGTTTGAGAGGTGAGAAGGAACTGGAGGGTTGTACACACGCACCTGGCCATATTCCTGCCACCACCCAGCACCCCTTGGGCACAGAAGAGAAGCTGAAGCCGCTGAAAGAAGGACGGGACAGCCCCACCTTCCCTCTCAAACCGAAAGTTTTGGAAGGACCATGGCCTCTAGTTCCTGAGGTCACCAGTGCTGCCCCTGTCACTCCTAGAAGGTTGAGCCTTAGAATTGCTGGTGAGCCCTGACCTGTGTGGCTCAGTTGGCTGGGCATTGTCCAGCAAAGTGAAAGGTTGCTGGTTCGATTCCCAGTCAGGGCACATGCCTGGGTTGTGGGTTCGGTCCCCCATTGGGGTGCGTGGGAAAGGCAATTGATAAATGTTTCTGCCCCACATTGATGTTCACCTCCCTCCCTTCCTCTCCCTGTACCAGTAAATAAACACAATCTTTAAAAAAATTGCTGGTGAACATAGCCCCCATGATGTAACTGTGGACAGTTCAATCTGAGTGGTGACCCATGCAGGGGAGTTTGTGGAAGTTTTTAAAACAACAACAAACACCTTCAAGTGCACATCCTTCAGGAATAGAAATCCTTCTACAAAGAGAGCTTTCCTCTGGACTTAAACTTCCTTCTGAGTCCTCCTCCTGGCCCCACCCAGGTCCAAGGGGAATCAGGAGAGATCAAAACTGCCCCCAAAGCAGAGCCCCCTGGCCAGGTAGCTCCATTGGCTAGAGCATCATCCCAATACCCCAAGGTTGTGGGTTCAACCTCCAGTCAGGCATAGACAAAAATCAACCAATGAATGCATAAATAGGCGGAACAACAAATTGATGTCTCTCTCTCTCTCTCTCTTCCTCTCTCTCCCTCTCTCCCTTCCTTTCTCTCTAAAATCAGTCAATAAATTAAAAAAAAAAAAAAAAAAGCTGCTCCCAAAGCAGAGAGATCTGGCTGAGTAGAGAGTTGGGGTCTCTACTCATGAGAAGATGTTGGCTTTTTAAAGAAAGATTTTATTTATTTTTAGAGAGAGGGGAAAGGAGAGAGAAAGAGAGGGAGAGAAACATTGACTTGAGACAGAAACATCAATTAGTTGCCTCTTGAACAAACCAGGCATGGAGCCTGAAATTGAGGCTTGTGCCCTGACCGGGAATTGAACCTGTGACCTTTTGCTTTGCGGAATGATGGCACAACCCACTGAGACACACCGGTCCTGGCAAGTTGTTGGCTTTTCTACAGGCAACAGCAAAGTCAGTGGAGAAAGGGGTTGGCCTCAGAGGGCCAAACCAGACCAGAGGAGAGAGTCCGGGGAGCCAGATTATAGGGAGCTCACGAAGGGGCAGGTTCGAAGCTGCTTTAAACAGATGAAGCTCGAGGAATGGGTAGCTCTCCGGGGCTTTCAGGCACCAGGTGAGGGGCGAGCCGGGGCGAGCCCGGAGGAGCCCAGTAGTCCTTCCCCGCCCTGAGAGCCAGTCAAACCCATTCCACTCTCCACACAAAGGCTGGAGCTATCTGTTCGCCTCCCGTATTTGGGGGGCATCAGCAGAATGCTCCAAGTCAAGGAAGACTAGTTCAAAGCCGAGAACGGGAGCCGCTCAGTTTTAGAAACCAAATTAACAGGACGGATTGGGACTGGGGTTAGATGCTTGATGGGACTTGTTCTGGGCAGTGAGGCAGGAGCAAAAATGGTAATTCTGTCTCCTTCCCTTTAAGGTTCCGGGAGTGAACCTGACAATCTCCCTCCGAGTCTCTAAATGGCAAAGACACTTAGTTAACTGGGCTGGGCTGTGAAATGCCTGGAGCAAGGAGGTGATTAAGTCGCTGTGAATACCAGGAAATCTACTCTGGAGCTCAGCTGCCTGAGGGGCTAACTCCGGGTGGGTTGGCAAATGGGGAGGGACAGCCAGAGGGGACAGGGCTCCCCAGCTCCACACACCCCACAGAGACCTTTCCCCAGCTAGTCAATGAGAGACTGTGTGCTAGAGTCGGAAAAGTGTGGGCTCTGGGACCAGACAGACCCAATGCCGCTTCCTGGGCACCCAGTCACTCAGTTCTCCTTCAACAAACACTTATTAAGTAGACAATTATGAATTGGGCTAGGATGTAGTAACTTTATGTGGCAAGTAAGGCATTTAACTTCTGATTCTCCATTTTTATGCAGAAATCTTTTTGGGAATAATGCAGGCTACTGCTTGAGTGATGTATTTAGAGGAGAATCTCAATGTGTGTTTGCTCATGCTGTACAGAGTCCTAAATGAGATGCAGAAGAACATGCAAAGTACATCCTTGGCCCTTATGGAGGTTATAGTCTTCTCTGGAAAATAGAAGGTGGTGTAAAAATATTACTCAGCAGCATGTAGGCAAGTACAAAATCTCAAGGCTACCAACCAACTCCAGAGGTCATAAATGAAGGAAGGTCCGTGGACAAACCCAGGGGAAGCGGGGCAGAGCTGGGAGTTCTGCACTGAGTTTGGAGGCCAGCATGCTGGTGACAGTGATGGAGAGTTCCCTGTCTCAGTGCTGCACTCGGCAGCCAACACGGCACTTTCACACACACACCATCAGGTCTCATACAGGTACCTCAAAGGCAGGCAGGTGCCACCCTCTTTAACGGATGGGGAAGTGGGCTCAAGTAATCTGCCCAAGATGGTAGAGCTAAAGCAAATGAGAGCCTGAGCCTGAGCCCTCGCGCCTTGCTCCAGCGTGCTCAGGGCCCCGCGGTCCCCGAGTGGCAGCGGAAGCCAGGGCTCGGCTCCCACTGAGCCAGCACTGCACCTCAGTGGTAGTGCGTTAACCACAGCAGCAGCAGGCCCAGACAGAGCCCAGCTCGGGAGGCAGTGGAGCTCAAAGGGGATTTGGTTGGCGGCTGCGTCTCCACAGTCTCCAGAGTGGGGGAAAATAGAGGGGTCAAGAGGGGAGGGAGGGCACAAAGGAAAAGGACCCAAGATCTTGTTCCCATTTTTCCTCCAGGGCTGACTCTAGGCTGTGAGGCAAGAATAAAAGGAGGATGAGGCTGCTATACCCACCATCAAGTGCTCTTACACTATTTACTCAACCAGAGGCAAGGAGGGCCAAACAGGAGGGAAAACACTAGAATTGCAGCAAAAAGGAACAGGAGTCAGACTAGAGGAGGGACTTCCCTGAGCATCTGAAATAAGATGTAAAATTTCTAACCTTCCTTCCCAAAGTGTCCCCCCCGCCACCACATACACACACATACACAAAGCTCTCCGAGTCCAGTGCAGGGCCGCAAGGGGTGAGGGGCGGGTGGGATAACCTGTGGCAGGCTCCACGTTGAGGATCTGATGTTGGGCATCCTGCAGGCTGGGCAGCTTTTCCCATTCTGGAAGGGATGGTCTGAATGTGTCAGGAGTCGTGGGGGATAGACTGCAGATGAAGTGACTTTTTGACAGCACTTACTACAGTACCTGGACATATGTGTGTGTCCTGAGGTGGGCAGAGTGGGGTGGGGTGAGGGCAGCTGATACTCATTTAAGTGGCTACAAAGCCATTCTCACGGTCCTGATGCAATGCTCAGGATAATAAGAAGTGAGTAAGTAGTAATTAGATTGTGAACTAACCTCTTGCTTCAGGGTATCTATCATGCCACTTTTGCACAATCCACCCCCCCGGCCTGCGGGAAAGACAGGGCAGGGCTGAGTCCAGGTACCTGGGCAGGGCCACCCCCCCACCCAGACTCTGGAGCTCCAAAAGAGCAGAAGGACTCGGTGAAGACCCCCCCCCCACCTCCTGCTGGGTTCCAGGGCCAGGAAATGGGGAGGGAATAAGCCACAAAATCTATAGACTAGATTTTGTTTGTTTTGTTTTTTCTTTTTTTAATTTTTTTTAAACAGGATGATTTTTTTTAAGATTTTATTTATTTAGTTTTAGAGAGGGAATGGAGGGAGAAAGAGAGAGAGAAACATCTATGTGCAGTTGCTGGGGGTCATGGCCTGCAACCCAGGCATGTACCCTGACTGGGAATCGAACCTGTGACACTTTGGTTCGCAGCCTGCCCTCAATCTTTTTTTAATTTTTAAAATGTCCATTTATTGATATTTTAGAAAGAGAGGAAGGGGGAAGGGGAGAGAGAGAGAAACATCAATTTGTTGTTCCACTTACTTATGCATTCATTGGCTGATTCTTGTACGTGTCTGACTGGGGATCAAATCCACAACCTTGGCATATCAGGACACACTCTAACCAACTGAGCTACCTGGCCAGGGCCTGTTTTGTTTTTTCTAAATGAATTAATCTCAGAGTCCTTCTCAGTCCTGCCATGCACAGCTACACGTGCTAGTGCTGAGCACCATCCAGCCGTGTTGGCTAAAAGACGCCTCCTTCGTTGAATGGGAAGTGAGGAGATAGAACACTGAAACATCTATGCCCCGCCTGTTCAGAGCTGACTGTCCCGCAGCTGACATAGCAGTGAGCAATCAGTTTCCCCAGGTGTCCTTAACAGGTGCATGCAAACCCTGGCCAGGTAGCTCAGTTGGTTAGAGTGTCATCCCGATAAGCCAAGGTTGAGGGTTCGATCCTCAGTCACGGCAGCACATAAAAGAATCAACCAGGGCCCTGGCTGGTGTGGCTCAGTGGATTGAGCACGAGCCTGTAAACCAAAGGGTTGCTGGTTTGATTCCCAGTCAGGGCACATGCCCAGGTTGTGGGCTGGGCCCTTAGTTTGGGGTGCGCAAGAGGCAACCACATATTGATATTTCTCTCCCACTCTTTCCTTTCTCCTTCCCTTCCCTTCTCTCTAAAAATAAATAAATAAAATCTTTTTTAAAAAAGAATCAACCAGGGAACACATAAATAAGTGGAAACAAATCGGTGTTTCTCTCTCTCTTCCTCTCCCTGAGGTGCCGGAGAGGACACATAGAGGCTGGTGGTCTGGATTTGGGGCAGTCGGCCACGCTCTCCCTCCGCTGCCCTCTCGACACCCCTGCCACTTACATATTTTTTCCACGTTTCTTCTTCTTTCCCCTCTCCCCCGTTACTCTTTATTGTTCAACTGGGTTTTGTTTTGCCTTTCCTTAATTAACTTCAGAGTACCCCCCAGGGCTGCCATGGTGTGCACGGTATTCGCCTCACAGGCCCAGTTAGGCAAGGCTCCTGGCGGCAGGACCTTTTTCTAATTTGTATAAAAAGAAGTGTTGTATGGGCAGGCGGTGGCCCTGGCACCTTCGTGGACCAGGCACTGAGAAATACTTTCAGTCTCCACCCTGCCCGCCCCCCGCTCAGTTCACTCTTCTTCTCCTGCCCCCATCTCCATCCTGTGCCCTCGCCCAGAAAAGGCTCTGTAGAGACTTGGTAGTGTGCAAAGATCGTGGACTCTGAGCTTAGACGTGGGCTTGCTGTCCTACTCTGCCCTTACCAGCAGTAAACTTGGGGCGAGTAACTTCACTGAGCTCAGATGGCCTTCCGTGCAACGAGAACTATAGTTCCCGTCCCACAGGGTCCCACAGGGCTGTGTGAGAATCAGAGAGTGCTTAGTTTAGAGCCCGACCCAGAGCAG